AGGGGAAGGAACTCCCGAAGCCTAGGTAGGGAAGAACTCTGGAGTGGGTCGTAGAAGAAGCTCCGTGGTGGGTAAACTAAAATTTTGGGTGAAACAAGGTGTGTCAGATTTGGGAGGGGGAGTTAGACCACCTTAAAGTTGTACGGTTGAGGAAAGTGCTTGTCACCTCCAATGCGCGGTTATAAATATGTCGGGTCCCCGTTTGCCTTAATGTTGTATTATGTACTATAGAAAGTGAAAGTGGTATCATGAAATGCCCCCTCCCCCCACTCCATCCCCAGTAGTGGGCTAGCGCCCAAGGAAAACTAATTCAAGCATTGATTTTTAGACGTATCTCCAAACATCGCGAGATATAGCCTCTGGAGAACGTCTTCTAATGCAACGATACACGGGCAGCATTACGGAAGATGAAGAAGAGGATGAAGAGGAAGAAGAAAGAGATGTGGAGGAAGAAGATGAAGAGATGAAACAAGAAAGGTAAGTGGTGTAATTCAACTCAACAAATTCGTACACGACTCTTTCACCCTCTGCATGTCTGCCTAACGGCCGTCGGCGGCCACTGCACCACGGCGACACTCTGCAGACCCCGTTGGGCGCGTGGTGTTCGGCGCGCGCGCACTCAGTCCGAACAGCTCCAGTTGTTATCTCATTGACTAACTGTTCGCATTTTCTACGACCGCTCTACTGACCTCAATTACGACATAAGGAAAGCGAAATCATAGTCACATACATAACGTTGTCCATCAGTCTCTCATCCTCTTCAGCTCTTCCCCCAATTCAATTCCTCCATTTCTCCAACAATTCCTCCATTTCAGACTCAATGATGAGCCTACAAATGCTATTATAAAAGTCAACAACGAACCACGTGAACACGGAGAACTCGAACCCGGTCAACTAGTCCCAGAGGGTCAAGCTCATAAGTGTGCATTGTGCCCGAAGAGTTTCTCAAGTGCTAGGTAAGTGATGCTCATCATCATCTTACGATTAGTTTACTCAGACGAGCTATGGAGTCGAGTGAGTGAGTACCAGCTGTCCCGGAGAATACGGTAATGTGAAAGGGATACTGAGCTGAGGAGTGTCCTCAGGTGCGCCTGGATGCATTAGCTGGTGTGCATGCGCGTCTATTTGCTCAGCGCCACCATCTCCACTGTAACGCATCTCCTCGCTGGTTTCTTCTTGATCAGGGACACTTTGGGCTCACTTTTACCTACGGAAAACTGTAGTAATTTCAGCGGTCTCAAGCAACATTCACATATTCACTGCAGTTCAAAGCCATTTCGTTGTCATATCTGCAACAAGGCTTATACGCAGTTTTCCAATCTCTGCCGGCATCGACGAATTCACCTGGTCAGCTGTTTTTTCTCTTATTTCCCGATTTTTATACAATTAATTTTGGGATTTTCAGGATGGATGGCAGTGTCCCATCTGCCAACAATCATTACCTTCACATAGCGCTCTTGTGAAGCATCGAACTCTTTGTGAAATGGCATCCGCTCTCTATAAACCGCTCATTCCTCATATGCCCATACCGGGCCTAGCGCCACACATGATGCCCAACTACTGGCCACATCTTATTCATATTGCCACACAGGTGAGCCCTTCGCTGCGCAATCTGATCAGGGCAGGCCATGGATATGAGGGAACTTATTGACCCCCCCTTTTTTTTTGGCTGGCTCTAGCAAGACCCTCTTCAGCCAGGGCCACCATGGCTAGGAACTCCTCACGAGGACTCTGTATTAGGGTCATTACGAACTTGTAAGGGGGGGGGGGGGGAGGAGACATCCCGGAAAAATTGTTTTAGCAGAAGAAGTTATAAAGCAGTTATACGATAACTTTTCACCCCCATCATTTTCCTCCTCCGATTTCTGGGATAGAATGAAAATGGTACACCATAGAGATGTGGAGATCTTGTCCTCATTATGAATGGAGATTTTGTCGTCATTACAACCTCCTCCCCGTCTTCCTAGGGACTGAATACGTCCATCCCCATGCAAACTTCACAGCGAGGTTGTACAACGACTACGGGGGGGGGAGAGAGGGGCAAAGGAACGAGGAGGTATGATGACATTGTCCCTTCATGGGCCCTGCCGTCAACCTCGCGGTCCAATTCAAAATTCGAATCCCCCTGTTCTCACCTTCCATTTTCGCTTGGTATGAAAGTCATACACTACACCGAGTACAATTAGGTTACCGGTTCACCTCAAGTCCCACCCTCCTTACGATTAGCGTCAACCCCTCCCAGCCAACCAAATACGGTCCCTTCCCTCCAGCGACTCGAATATGGTCTCCTGATCGAAGCTTACTTAACATGGCGTGACCTGGATAGTCTCAACTAAGTCTCGCCCTCTGAATTTTATGTCATTTTTAAGATGCAACATACTGTTCCTATGGGTATGTATGGGCAGATGGATGCTTACAAAATGCTGAATCCGAGCTCAGATATTGAAAGTTCACCGCAATCGAGGTGAGTGGCTTGGTGGCAACTTCGTCCCCATTGATTCAATAGTGTTGCCCTTCCGAGCAGATACATCTTTCTTAATAAGGCTCAGCGGTTTGTAAGAGCTCCCACAAAAAATCCACTTTCTGGATTGGGCCATGCACTTCATTTTATAGAAATTCTGGACATGTTTGGCAGTGCACCCTCTATCAAACTTTTCTTCTACAAACCTCGACCTCAGCTAGTTTCCAGCCTCTCTTTTACAATCCTTGTTCTCTGTAATACATAGATCCCTTCCTCTTCCAGCCATTCATTTTTTGCCTTTTCTAGTGGTCATACCAGTGAACATTCGCCTTATGAACGAAAAGGAAGCCCGTGCTCAGAAGCCGAAGCGAGTCCGTTGGATCTGACGACGAAACGAGAAGACCGAAAGTCCGAGTGTGAGAGCAACGATTCCGGCAACGAAGACGAGAACGAGCTCTTCATCGTTCACAAAACGTGCCGAATCTGCTCAACCTTGCCTTACACCGACAATGAACCCCTTCAGGTGGGTTCACATCCCTCCTTGGGTTGTCTCAGCACTCCGTCTTAATTCTTTCTATTTCAGCTCTCCAGCATTTCCTTTCGCTGTTACAACGGCCGTTTCCATATTCGACCCCTTCGTCCTATGCCGTTAGTCCACAAATCACAAAAACGTCCAAAGGATCGATATACGTGCAAATTTTGCCAGAAGGTAGGCATAGATTGGCCTGGAGATTTCGTTCTACCGCATTATCTTCCTCGTATCTCAGGTATTCCCACGGTCCGCGAATCTGACGCGCCACTTGAGAACACACACCGGAGAGCAGCCATATAAGGTGGGCAATTGTAATCTGCGCTGCAGCTTGGCCGTGGCTCTCATACCTTCGAGTATCATCTGGCACCAATTACGGGCAGCTATGACACTCAATACTCACTTGCCGCTTGCTGACTTATGCATTATCTAATTGACTATAATCGCGTCGTGTCGTTTCAGTGCCAGTACTGCGAACGGTCCTTCTCAATTAGCTCCAATTTACAACGGCATGTACGGAACATTCACAACAAGGTATGTACCGGTAGGATGTCCTGACAGCTTTTCTCGGTACTTCAAAAGTACCCCTCCATTTTAGGAGCGACCATTTCGCTGTCCACGATGTGATCGATGTTTCGGGCAACAGACGAATTTGGATCGGCATCTGAAAAAGCACGACGCCAGTCCCGATCTACCACTTGCCACCATGCTCAAAATTTAGGTACTGTACACAAGGACCACGCGCAGTTTGGCTTGGGAGGGGTACATTCGAGAGGTGCTTTTGATGGTGAGAGTGACAATTCCTGGTAAATTACACATAGCTACTTGAAGAGACCTGTAGACGCTTGCCATGCTACTGCATAGCTTTACAGGTCTCCATGGGAGTGAGTGGAATTTATCGATGGGAACCACCAAGATGCCCCCTCTAAGCCGAACTGCGTCAAACCCCATTTTCCGGGGTGTAAGCCGCCCATAAGCTTTGACAAGTGCAAATCTTTCCCGAATCGTCGGTAACTGAGTAACCTCCAACTTCCAAATTATCAGCTTGGATCCTAGTGTCTACGTGTAGGAAACAGTGTACATCATCGCTCTGGGAATCCCAACAGGAGGTCGTATTTAGTCGCTAGGGCAGGGGACGGGGGTCGTATTCAGTATCAACGGGATTTTTCTCATTGTAAGAATGCTGAGTTATGGGCAAGAATTAGACCCCGGCGGGCTCATCATGCTTCCTATTGCTTATTTTCCCGTTTTTTCGCTATATACTCGTTCGAGGGTGGGGGCTACAGTTCCTCGCAGCCCATTATCCGTGGGGTTGCTCCAGAACTACTAATAGTTAGTACGGCCTCCTGCTCGGTTTGAAGCGAAACTTTGTGAAAATGTGGGTAAGAGAGATGGGCTTGGGCTTATACGGTGGTTTAGGGAAGGGAGCGTTTATGTGGTGGTTTAGGGGAGGTTTAGGGAAGAAACTTATCAAACTCTGACCCTCCATTTTTGGGTCCAGCTGGAGGAGACAGGGTTGTGGTGGAAGCAGCTCTGCTTGGAGCATGGAACCCTGTAGCATGTTCGACGAGGAAGGAGATCCGAGAAAGTCTACAGGAGTGAGGTCTGAAGTGAGTCCCAGGGGGGGTGCATTATACTGAGACCGTCACTGTACCCAGCACGGGGGGCTTCTACTGACAGCGTCGTAGTACCCAGTCCTACGGTACATGTACTGTTTTTGAAAGCATTCTGCCGTCCCAAATAAGGCCCCAAAGAGCGGCTAAATCCCCGGCAAATGTTTGAATCGCCCACTACTCGGTAGAGTAAACTCAATCCATTCATATTTCAGGGCGAATAGCGACCGATAAAGGAGAAACATACTTGTATATATGTATTTAACAAGGCTGCTATCTTCATGTCATTCAAACGAAAACCCTATAAATGATTTATTTGAAGTTGTTGTTAACAAATTACCAATTCAATATCTACACACAACCATAAACCACCCATAAATTACCGTCAAGCGCCCGCCGTTCATTCGCTGTTTTTTCTCTTTCTTTCAACAATTAAAGGTGATGTGACCTTGTAAGGAAAAGCGCTACAACATATGGCAAGATTCATCATCACAATTCGAATCCTACCTGCTCTCTTTAGTGTGATTGAGGCGCGATTTAGGAGGGCATCAAGGGAGGGGCACCTGTTGTCGTTAATTGGTTCCGGTGAGACAATGCACCCATGGACGAACGGAACGGAAGCGTGCACCTTCTACGGGTCGTCGGCGCTTTCTCGGCCCCTTTACGTACATCCTTCAATCAGTGCTTAGCTCAGGGGCTACCCTCTAAGGAGTACGACTAATACAGACGCAATAAATAGTAATAATTAAGCTCATATACAAATAAAAAGGCAAGAAGTGAGGTAGTCAAGTGAAGGAAAGAGCTAAAAGTTTTCTAAGAGCAATCAGATAGAATCAATCTTTCCTAAGGGTTCTTCTCGAGATATCTTCGAGTAGATTTCTTGAACGACCGCTTCCACCGTCTCCATATCGCCGTCGGCATTTATAGTCTTGAATCAGAAGTTTTTTGATGTAATCACAATGCCAAAAATTATAGAAATGAGGATTAGTTGATGTTAGGGGGGTAAGGCGCTGTTCGGCTTGGAGGGGCATCAAACAGCGCTCAGCTAAGCTAGTACAGGCCATCCTGTAAAGAGCCTTATGACCGAAAAGGGTCACTCCAGCAACTCCGCAGCTTCACAGGAGTTTACATGTGTGAGCCAAAGTGAGACCTGTCAGATAATATGCTAAGAAAAAGAGCTAGCGAAATTGCAAGATGCCCCCCAAGCCGAACAACACCGACAGTACCTCCAAAGGCTTATTTATTAAAGATGTGAAATCTTCACCCAATGAGCATCAAGGAGGAAAGAGAGAGGGGAGGAGGGGTGGGGGTGAAGAAATAGTTTAGCTTCCAGTTGGTGCGTGCCGTTAGACGGGAACTGAACAAATGCTTCCCTTCAATGCCCACGACTAAGTCGAACATGGACGTTTATGAAATCCTGCAAACTCTCCAAGTCTTGCTCCTCACAGGGATTGGGATTCTGCACGAATAAGCCCTACCTGCCAGTAGCTTTTTCTTAGCTCCTTCATTGCATGATGAACCTTCTGTTGAAGTTGATCGCTCTCAAGACGCTCATCACCGTATCCGCCTCTCTGCTTTACAACTTCTGGTGAGACCTCGAAAAACAGTACAACGTCTGGACGAGGAAGACCTATGTCTGCTTGACGAACCCAATTTGGCTCCAAACCTGAAATACTGTTGTCATTAACTTATTGGATTAGGTAAATTTTGCTCGTATCAAGGGGCTATGAGTCAGTATGCGAAAAAAATCAACAGGAATGTATAATAACTAATTTGAAACTATTTAAGAAATAGCTGTATAGTTGGACAGGACTAACAGAATTTAGAATTGTGCTGTCCCGAAATAACCTCATGACGTCCAAATGAACTTGTGCCCACAAAAGTTGGTAATCAAGAAACTCAAAAACCTATGGAAAGCTTTGAAAAACTCAATACTGTAGAAAGACAGAGTGGATTTCTCTCTTTATGACTCGTTATTCGCCCCACAGTCGATCCTATTCGAGAACGATTTAGAAGCTGTCATGTTTCACATTAAAACTAAAGCACATCATCGCTGGAGAAACCCCACAGGAATGGGAAGAGGGTCGTATAGTACTCGTTAAGAAAGGGAACTTGTAGTAAAGGTAGAGAGCTAGGTTTAGGGATTGGGGACGGGTTACAGAGAGGAGGATCGCACAGTATTTAGTTTCTCTTAATACGACTTTAGTATTTCCCTCATCAAATTGCTGTGCCCTGATTGAAAATGCCAAGGATTGCATGCGACTGTAGCACCCTGGATAGCTTATGAGTAAACATAGTCATTTGGCCTCCGAATTCTAACATTCTGTGGATACGTTTTACTTCCCCACTCCACGTCGCCAACTATAATGTGTGAGGAGAGAGAGAACGAAACCTCTACACCTCTCCGAAATCTCCATCAATGCATTCCCCACTCAACCACACCACGTAACCCTGCCCCTCTCCATAACCGCAGATTGCGCCCCCCCCCTACTGCAAATGCAAGGCGCACCGTGGTCTCTCAGCAGCTCTGGAGGAAAAGTTGGATTTTCTTGAGGCTTCCCTGCCCCTCTCCTAACACGACCTGTCGGTAAGTACAGTCCAACACTCACAGTTTCCCCATCTACGAACACTATTCACTGTTTTTTTTTTCGAAATGTTCACACAAACGCTCATGCAGCCCCCCCTCAACCACCCAAATATAAGCCCCCTCCTCATTTCATAAAAATAAAGTTGCCCCGCCAATGTTCACGTTCACTTCGAGGAGTACTAATCATACGGCTTGCCGTTCTCCTCCCTTTTCCTTACTGATGAGCACGGAGGGAGGTACTCCTTTGTTTAGTTTCCCTCTAAAGTAAGGGCACGTGCGAAACGGAAACTAAACGATTTCCTTGTACCCCCATGACATATTTTAACATATTATTGTAATTAATTTTATATTCTATTGCCTCCTCCGCCCCGCTTCCTATCTCCTTCTGAAATTCACCATTCTAAACGACCAACGTTTTCCAATAACATAGCCACCCTATTCGCTGGAAAAGCGGAAGATACGTAGTAAAAGCGTAGTATTTATTTCATTCCATCATGATGTGCTCTGATCGAAATTGGAAAAAAGTCTCACAGGGTTCTTTCATTTTCTGTTCACCATTGAATTCGCACAAAAATTCCGGAGATTCAAGAATAGCGCTAGTAACTACTGTTCTCCTTAGATAGATCCCTTCAGAATGCCAAGGACCGTTTGCAACTGCACCTTATGGCAAGCTTAGAGGTAAATATACCAACTTGAAGGCTTGTCTATAGACCTAGTTTCATGAAAACACCCCTCTGAATTCTGGTTTTTCTAAATACTACCACATTTTCCTACTGCACCATCTCCAGCTCCAGTGTGTGAGGAGGAGAAGGAACAGAAACCGCTGTCCCTCCACGGAATATCCAACACCCATTTCCATCAATGCAGACCCCACTCAACCGAGCCCGACCAAAGCACGCCCTGATGATGGTGAAAATTTTGCAAAATACGATTCTTTTGAGGTTTCCAAAGCACGGCGTACCCTGCCCACCACCGCTCTGAAAGTAAGGCAAGCATTCCAAAACCAAGTCGTCAAACTAAAGCTGTTCTAGTACTAGTAGTAGCCTTACTCATACTGGTCATTCTTCAGTGGTCCACATCGAGCGCGCACAAATAGCCTGCCTGAGCGCTCAGAACTGAAAGGTCAATGCAATCACCTTCTTCACACTTTCAAGTTAATCGCTTAGAAAGAGGCGATGCATGGATTCCAACACATACCGGATGTAAAAGTTATTGGTGGCAGCAACGACGCCATATTCGCCTTTTAACTACCGTATGCCGGGCAATGTGAGGGGGCTCTCGCCTCGTCGAGATCCAATTGATGTACCACGCTTCAGCACCTCTTGCCACCAGCCAGCCGGACGCCAATTTCCTTACGCAACAGGTCTGTTTACACTCAATTACCAGCCGAATCGGCGGCCATTTTGATGTGCACTATACATTGTGCATTGGCTTAGACGGCCGCTTTCGGCCACCTTGATAGCCCTCTTGTTGGGTGCAACCAGTGGAACCATTGCATCCGCTATTATGCCTTGACCACAGCTCAAAGCAACACCGCTCGCGCACTAGCTCATAAATTCACCTTATGAGCTCATAGACGGCATCTGCCCCTCATAAATCATCAACTAAATGCTCTTTAACTGATATAAGAAGGTCCAAGGGGTGAAAAAGGCCGGAAAACCTCAAGTATCATCCCACAAGATGTTCTCCACACGCAGAAATCTCCTGGTCTGTCACCATGTATGTACTAGCCGTTGTGGACAATGGCATCCATGTGGCAAGCACGAGAGTTTGACAATGAGAGCGCGCTCGCCCAATCGCTTCCTTCCTTCCGCAATCTTCTCTCCATCAAGCCGAGCGACTAATCGTCCCCTCCACTCTCCTGTCGTACACCCACCTCATCCTACCAAGCACATCACCGCACATCGATTATGAAAACGCCTTCAATGCGTCCACCACCGCACATCTTGATTATATAGAGCGCCAAAGGGGAGTACAGCCTGCGCTATCCCACAAACGCCTCCTGATAACACACCTGCTTGTCTCGAATTATCAACCGAACAGTAACTGTACATTTAGAATGGGTGAGACCTGAAAAACACCTGAAACTAACGCGATAAAATCACCTGCAATCTGCAGCAGTCTGATGTCTCCAAACAAACGAAAAACGGCGTTGATCAATCTTCTTTAGGATGCGCCATGGGTGCTGTTCTGCTTGGTAGGGGCATTTGGATTACTTTGTTGGTTTATGTCGGCGAACTAGGGGTCTAACTCTTGTCAGACAGTCCTGTGAAGCTGCGGAATTATTCTTAGCCACTTTGATCCTAGATTTTACAAGGTGGGCTTTTCAAACTTGGCTTTCGTAATATCACCTTCAGTAGAAGAATGCATAGCGCAGGAGCAACAGCGTTGCCCCTGCGCCATGCATTCTACTACCAAGGATGATATTATGAAAACTGTCTAGTCTATACACTGATCACGTCTCTCATTCGATGAAAAGTCGGTGTTTAATCCTCCTAAATAAGTCTGGTGAAAACTGGCAAACCTCAGATAGCCGCAGGGGTCGATCCGCTATCTGGCTGCTAGGAAATACACCAACTTAAGCCATCAGTGAACCTTTACAGCGCTTCTGAAGCGAGGCTGATAAGGCAAACACCTTGACTGACCATGGTGGGTGGCGCCAGGCGCTCGAATTAGACACTCTTTTTTCCAGACAATGAGTTGTCTTTCTTAGCTGGTACTTACAGGCTTGTTCGCTTCGGATGCTGGGAAGTTTCACGAGGGGGAAGGGCTGGGCTCAGCGCAGCGTCAGCCTGTTCTCCACCGATTGTGGAAGCTGGCAGGCGACTGCACAGAGATATTATATCAATGCATGTGATGTCCATCATGACAGTACCATTCTGGATGAATACGGTAGCAACTATGCTGTGCTGTGTTACGTTATGTTAACAACTATACTATGGGAGTAAGCCTACGCACGACTTGATCCGTGGGCCGGAGAATGGGAAGCTGCACTTTTTACCCGCGTTCTTGACCAAATACGTTTCTTATTGGTTCTTTATGTAGTAAGGAGCTGTCGATAGATACAGAAAAACTCCTGTAAGTTTGCCATGAGTTCGAGAACCATTCGGAATCGTGCAGACTTGAAAAAATGAGGCTGTGGAAGCCTTGATTTTCACGTCTTCCTCGGCAGAAAAAAATGCTATTCCGGGAGATGTGAAGCTTAGACCTCCTGACGGAGACATAAGAATGTGCCTTAGGATGTGCCACCTTCCTTCAGGAGAGATTATCAGGATCAAAAACTTGGTTGTAGGGGCCACGCTACGATGGTAAGTCGTGTAAGAAGGACCAGAATCTTGGTTAGAGGAATGGTTGAAGGAGCAATGGAGACAACCAGTGTCGCTGCGGGCGCTGCCTTGTTAGAAAAATCTTATCAAGATTCCTACTAGGTCAGTGGACAGGAACTCGTACCTGGCCTTGAGAAAGGTGTTTCCGAACCCGAGGGGAATTTTCCCGGTCGTTCGTTCTTCTCGTTTCACGCGCGCTCTTACCGTCCACCCCTTTCCAATTATGGGGATGAACTGGCGAAAATCGGTGTAGAGTTGAAAGAACACTTCGATAGGCTGTGAAATGGGCGTCGTACTGGAAGAAGAAACGTGGAGAGATGGGTCGTGGCGACAATTCCATTTCACCAATCGCGATGGTGTGCCGCGCCTGGGCGCTTACTCACGAACCGAAACAACTCCAACTCATCCCCAATGAAATGATGCTCCCTCGTATAGACTCAATCCAAGACGTCGGTGCTCGTGTCATTTGTTGTGGTGCACAAAGTGGCCGGTCCTGTGCACAAAAAGTCGCAGAGTCATTCAAAATGGTCCGTTCAAAATCGCCGCGCAACTTGGCAATGTCAGTGATTACGAGAAGCGGTAATCTTGCCCAACGCATGAGGGAACGAATGCTACGCATATTGCCCTCCTTTAAGCACCAGAGGTAAGTGACAACAAAATTATACGCTGCTGTCTGAAGTCTACTCTTAGCTTCCGGACCAGTAGCCTGTGGACGCCAAAAAACCACCAGGATGAAGCTATTAATCAACACTGAAGGAAATGGCACGCCTGGATCACTGCCTTCACTGTTGCAAATGAACGATTCGAAGGCAAACATCCAGTGCACCATCGGAGTGCCACCGTAAAAAAGCTACTCATAAACGAATTTGTCGCAAAGATTTCAAGATGATAGAAAAACAACAGTGACAGATGTTTTGTTATAATAACTGCTGTTTAATGCCGCAATACGCGTTCCGAATGTTATCACAAAATGCTGCAGCGTGGGCAAAAATTCGTGCCCCTCAGCGGGGAGGCGAACCCGGCACCTCTAGTTTTTCGGGCGAGTGGCGGCTACCCGTTACGCCACCAGGGCGCTTTGACCCTCTCAGCTTAGCGGCTCACCAAGTTAAACGTGTGATGCTGTAAGGTCACGGCATAAGCCGTTAAGCTGAGAGGGTAAAAGCTGCCCTGATGGCGTAACGGACTATGCGCCCAGCACGACTCGGACAATCGTGAGGTGCGGATTCGACTCCCCCTGGGGCACGAACTTTCTGCTCCACAAACTCAGCATTCTTGTTAATAAATGACAGATAAGATAATGGAGTGGTTGAGTAGGCAAAAGAATTGAAAGAGATGAGACTGGGATGAGAGGCATGCAAGTGCATCGTCAGCAATGAATGTTGGAATCACACGAAAAAATCTCACTCTAAAATCTGCAAGATGTGAGAGCGCGGACCGCTGGACTCCGTACGAATATTCTTTATGATGGGTTCCCTTATCTTATACTTGCGTGGACAGAATCAGAAAAACCGCATTGTTTCCAATACGCGAACTCAAAACACCGCCGTGCCGGTAAATGAAGCGCCTCAACCTACGCCCTCCCACCCTTCGGGTTATAGGAGTACAACACGTATACACGTAATCGTGAACTTAGTAAATAGGCACCTTAATGAACATCGAACTTTCACTTGTCCTAGACATAGACTCTAGTGAAACGCATAAGATGCCCTATTTCCGAGGGCGTACTCAGACGTATCCACGCCTAAAGCGCGCGAAGTGTGACTTTTGCCTATATTTCACGCTCTTTACTATAAGAATGATCTATATAGAGAGAGAAGTTTTTGAAAACTAATCAGAAGAAAAAAGTATTCAAAAAAAGGCCTAATAACAGTTACTGTTGTTCAGGAAACTTTCCGAGCGTGCTGCCGTGCACGTCTCTGGGCCCTTGCTAACAAAGGCGCCTTTACAGCATAAAATAGAGTAAATTTGTCCTCATAATGAGCGCAAAGACTCAGCTATTAAATGCTTGTTGATTATGTACCAGGTCTCCCTCAGGCGATTAGGGCGTCGTGATAACGGCGTGGGTTGGAGCGCAGCAATGGCAGCCGTTGTTTAAAAAATTTCCATTCTTAGCTCGCTACAATTGGTGGAAAATCTGTCCAGGCTGCGCTACAAGCCACTCGCGTCCTATAGTTTTCAGGGATCATGACTGTAATCACATGCTGTACCCAGGAAACTGAACAAGACTTACTGAAATAAAATTTTTCAGTGTCCGATAATCATAATTCTTCTGTAAGAGCGCATTCAGACTTCACGATCCAATCGCTGGCGTGATCGGAACAATTGGATGGCGAAGTCCGAAGACGCTCTTAATGAATTCAAATAAGACAATACTCTTTGAGAAACATTACTACAAACCTTTAGCAATCGAGTATGCAACACCACTGAAGCAATATCGATCGCAAATTACATCAACACCAGCAGCAATCTTCTCTTCTATCAAAGCTGCCTTAAAACTCATTTTTTTGGAAGATAAACTCAGTTTTGCGTCAAGAAAACAGCTCAAACCAAATTACTTTTTCCCAACGATTAGCCGAAAAAGCCAAGTGGAGAGCTCGTTCACAAAGATCGATTTCTTTTCTAAGGTATCGATCAATAACCTGACCAAATGGCTCCTCTCTGTCTGCAATGTAGCTTAACATTACGCTTTCTTTTCATCAATGAACCCATCACCGTAACCCATTGCTCGGAGAACCTACCAGGGAACGGAAACAGCACAGCTTGACCCCCAGATGAGTTGATTTTCTCGGCTAATCGCTTAGCTTGTGTCGATTTTCCACTTCTGTCCAGTCCCTCGAAAACAATTAAGGCGCCACGACGAGCCATAGCCTGCTAGTTCTGCTAGATAGTTGATAAAGATAGATACCGGAATTCTTACAGGGAGGTACAGAGTCGGGTCTTTAACAGCGTTCACAATACTGCAATGAAATGCACAAAAAGAGCAGAATAATTTTATTCAACACATTAATTTCGCTAAATTTCACTAAATCCTTTCCATTCTGCACACTCTACCAGTGGTACATGGTCTTCTGCACTGCCCAGTAGCGATGACATTTCACCAGCCAATTCAGGAACGAGTACGCGAAAATGAAGCGGAAGATCGTTTTCACCTGAAGAACATCATCCCGGAACCTGTTACAAATTCAAGTTCAGAAGAGAGCCAATGAAACTTACGGTATTTGCGTATACAGGACCAGAGTAGTATTTGTGATGGACCCTCCATATGTTCCGCATAAACTCGTTGTACATAGCACCTGGTGTCTTTTCACGCCGAGCAAACCATGCTGGGAGATCGGCAAGCTTTACGTCGAAGAGCTTGGTGTCCACTAAAATGTGCAGAATCCTGAGATACAACGGGATTATCACGCCGATTAAGATTCAAGGAAAAGTTTTGCTTTGCAATAAGTTAAGAGTTATGAATGGGTAAGTGGAAGATGTCTAATAGTTGGAAGATCAGGGGACGCAGTTCGGACGCCGGACTGTGGCGAGGGACGAGAGGACCAATGTACGCGATAAGCTGGCCTGCCAGCTTGTGACAAGTGAACTTTTGTAGGCAAAGTATTTCACTTGTACGATTTTGCACATTGAGTGGCGTTTGTATTGCAAATAAACATGTTAAGTTAACGTAATTTTACAAGGAAATATTGGAATGAAAATGCCCCTCCCAAGCATAAGAAATGAAGGGTCGAAAGCCGTGCTTTGTTAGAACTGGACTAAATAGATCATGTGTTACAAAGCTTGTTCACCGGCATCACCATTCGAGGAGGATAATTTACAAACAAAGATAGGAGAGCGCACAGACAACCAGAGTTCGTTTATAGTAAACCATGGATTTACAGTAGTTAACTTATATAACTGTAACGAGGGGAACATTATCAAAAGAAGAAAATACGGTCAGTGATATCAAATATGATAAAAAACTCAGAAAGACAGATTAACAGGGGTTTGAGGTAAATAAGGGACTTCTGTGCCTATGGAACGAGATGGCGAGGGGGCATTTGTGGCTTTCGCCAGTCTCCCTTTTTTTCTTGTTACTTATTCACATAACGTTCCATCCTGAAGAGGCCTGTTAGCAACCGTTCGAGACGTAAAAAAGAAAACTTATAATTGATTGCTATACAGGATTGTATAGGTCTTCGAGAAGCTATGCAGTAACAGATGCGGTTCGCAGAGTTTCGCTACGAAGTCGATTCGAGCAAACCTGGTTGAAAATGACTGGGACAGAATACCCGCAAGATCCTTCAGAGTTTCACAAAACCAGAAATTCCATTAATGAGGGAGGAGAGTGGCTATCCTTTCACCTGATTAAGCTTAGGTTTCACTCCACATTGAACACATGTAGTTTCTACAAGTGAGACTTCCCAATCATTTGTTGATGCCAACAGAAACGCCTTTTCGTCAAAACCTTTGCCTTCCATTTTGTCTTCCTCTCGGAAAACGATGTAACAGGAAGCAAAACATGAGTTACGCGCCAAGCCACCGGATCAAAATATGGGAGGAAGAAATAAATAGAAAAGTAGGATTTGAAGTACACTCATAGTGTTCGTGCGGGAATTGGTTGGGTGTTTCAGGCAGTGTAAGTGGCTCACGCCGTCAAAACGTTCTCTGCCTTCTTGCTGGAGCGCGCATGTGACACTAGGTGTTAGGAAGCGAATAATACGAACGATATGATACAGTCATATAATTTTGCGCTTTAACAAGACTAGGGCACTAAAGAGAACAGGGTTTTCGCAAATCATCCAGCCTGAACGCGGACAACCGTCCGCAGATAACTACATTACACGTGCTATGCTGCAACATGACAGGCGTGATTCCACACTAGCAAGACATTTAGGGATTGTACTTGTTTTTTTCAAAAGCTTTTGTAACCGATAAAAAAAAAGATAAATTCTATCTGCGTGTCAATCCACATTTCTAGGATGCGAGCAAGCATTAGCTACTTCGACTCGAATACGTAGTGGCTGTATTGAAATTGGCGATGAAGGCTACAGAAATAACTGCGGTGGCAGACGATGTACAAGTAGTGTACTATGGCTCCAAGAGGAGCCGGTTAAAAATTTACGCCCGGAGGTTTAGAAAGCTTGCGGTAGGCCTGGGCGGGAGTCGACGGGACTTGAACACGGCGTCGCGCGAGTGGTAGCGAAGCGACTTGTCACTACACACTCGGCGACTTAGTAAAAATAGCTAATAAAATAAAGAGTAAAGGGAATCTAGAGAGGGAAACGACTGCTGAATCCAGTGATGAGCAGTTATTCTATAATGTTGCTTTGAACTCTCTAAATGTTTTCCGGAAATAAAATGAAAAGGGAAAATAATGCAGTAGTTGAGAGATTCGGAAGATGAGGGAAATACATTTTCCGTAAATATCGTCGATGCCAGTAAGAGCTGGATGGTTTCTTGTTCCATTCTTTTGTCGTAACAGATCGGATTTCTGGTGTTTTTGAGGACTGAAATTTTTTTAGTTATCACAAATAGGAGGAGACTGGTGGGTAGTCAAAGCTCGGTGCGGTTCTTCTGGAAAAGGAGGAAGTTTAGCTGCTGCCCACATGTCGGGTCATTTTGTGGAGACCTATAAGTTCTTGTATAGCTACGAGTTCGTATGGACTTCATTGCCACACTCATCCAATTTTTTCATGTTGGACGGTGTTTACTGTTGGAATCAAAGCATAAAGGAACAGTTGCGAGCGAGGAAATAAGGGCCTCTGCCCGAGCAAAGTGGAGAGGGATCTCCGGGATGCGTGTACCAACTTCAGCAAGTATTTCGCAAATGAATATCGCAACATTTCTTGGTTTTTCGGGAACTTTAGGGAGCTTATAACGTGTCAGTCTTCGGGGCTAACTTGCCCGAAGACTTAATTAAGTGTGAATAGCGCAAAACTGAATCACAAGTGCAACAGTAAAGACAATATTGACAGTTGTGATTTAGAAAGGATGACAAGAAGCGGCCTGACTTGTCGGCCCTATACACTCAAGGAAACCAGTGTACCAACAGGTACAGTTCGGCATTTTTGCATTTTTTTTCTAGTACCTTCAGTTAGTTCATGTTAATTAACATTCTTTACATAGCTGTGACCTGCAAATTCCAATGGAACTGCGTAAAAATCCCAGCGGCATCGAAATGACCACGTCAGAGCGCGTTCTTGCTTAGCGATGAAATCGCGCGATTGAAGCGATGGGATTGCGAAGTGTCAATGCGCCCTCATACAATGAATCTAACTGCACTTGTTTGAGGCATATCAAAATCCTTCTCTTCTATGAACCACTAACTTTTTGTGTCGGTTTTTATTTTATGTACATACTCGCATGCATGTCAGTCCCTCCACAAAATGTTTTATGTGCTTTAGAAATGGGGTAGCCAAATCAATAGCGCGGATGGCAGCAACTGTAAGAAGTCGGTTAACAAGTAATGGAAAGAGTGGGACGGGGACGGGACACTACTGGTAAAAAAATAAATAACTGAAGCTTCTAATACAACATAAGGTAACTCACCTATTGTAGAAAAACACTCCAAACCGTTCGATGGCTCGTGAAATCGGGATGAAGATGAGGTCTGGAACCCACGGTCTGAGTTGTGTGCCTGGCGGAGGAGGACGGAACCAAGCCATTCTGCTGTAAAAGGAACTCAGCCAGTGATTTCTTACAACAGTAATTTCATTCAAAGCCCTATTTCACGCAGCGAATCGAATTCATTCACAAGTAAAAAGAAACTAATACATCATTCAGATAGCATTGGACAAGAAATGGTAATACATCGACATGGTTTGCAATAAACACAATATTTCCTGGGTAATCATTGCAAGCGAAAATTAGACGCACTTTATGATTGCAAGCGAAAAACTGAACATGAAGACGAGACTTTGGGTAAATCTGAGCCATGACAACGTATGGCTTTTCACACACACACGTGAAGTAAAGGTCGAATAAAATGTGAAATCATCTTGCTGTTCGTCACCAAGAAGTCCAGCAGTAAAAAAAACCGGAACCCATCAACGAACTTACGAGAAATAGGTCTTTATTTCTGTTTCGTACGGGTAATAAACCAGAAATTCATAGACGTGTGCTCTTCTACTAACTACCTCCTACTTCTATTGTACGAATCTTCAAATGTAAACACCATAAAACTTAAAACACTGAACTTAAGAGAAACAAGAACAGGCGGTGCAGCACCGCCTACTCTGAAGCTATCGTTGGCGGGACCGCTGTACGAAATTCGAATTAGAGGCACAACACACTTGCCATTCAGGTTGTAGAGGCAGTCAACCCAAAAATACATGAGGTGCAGTGAAATCGTTGGACTGAGTTCATATATTTGATTTCAGCCGTCTATTAGGGGTTACCAGTGAGGGGGATGTACTTAGTGCGCAGATGGGGTCTGGGTTCTTAATTGCCCTCGCGAAAGTTTCGGTTATGATTTTATATTCGGTTACCCTTTCTGAAATATGACAGGACTTTATCTCAATGTTATTCAGCAAAAAACCCTTGTGCTATTGAGTGGGAAGAGTGAGAGATGTCTGCTTTTGCTACGAAACTGCCATGATTAATTATGTTATCTGTTAAACGTCAGATTAAACTGACTGAATGTGGTTGACTAATCACACACAGCCTAATTCGAAGCCAGAGAGCTGTAACTGGTGAAAGTAGCGTACATCTATAGAACAAGAAAAGATGTGATAATATCAACTATTTATATCGGAGCCTCGCATAACATAAACCGTAATGTACCGTTTAAAAAAAAAAATTCAACAACAGTCTGGGAATATTCACAAGTAATACAAGAGTTACATTCTCGTTTTAAAAAGACGAGATTTGGAGCCACTCACAGGCTGCAGCACCCTTCTAAACAAAGTGGGGAGTTGGAGCAGAGACGACCGAGTCGCACGGAGGCTACTCAAACTTCAGTTTCTCTGGCCGTGTTGCATTGGCGTTGCCGTAGCCATGCAACCCCACAAATCCCAACTTTCAGTTATAGTTGAAGGCTCATCTATCGCAGCGCCCTCCCCACCCATGGAGCCTCGTCGTCTGCCCTCTAACCTAAGCCTTGATAGGACGAAGGAACGCACAGATACTGCGTGTGGCCTCGTTTAACTACGTCAGCACCTACTTCTGTAATCTAGCAATTAAGAACCTATAACAAAATTCTTGAAATCGTGAAAATCACTGAAAGTGACCGTAGGTTCGCCACTCGAAGAAGCGAAGAATGGAGCACTAGAAGCCTGAAAGTGTAGAGCTTTAGCTGTTGATAAGAACCTCAATTTTAAGAATAAGATTGGAAAGAAGACTTGTCTATTGTATTGAGGGTTATGTAGAAATGATTGGGGTAAATCTCTACAGGGACATTTGCAGCGCTTTCTGTGCATTGCTTCCAATGCACACAACAATCACTTAATGTGTTTCAAATCAACCAAGTAATTTTTGATAAGAGTATATCGAAGGCAAAGAAGACTACCGATCGGTAGCTTTTTGCATCGATTTCAATACACGCCTCAGACCAAGCAGGAAATTCGAACATGGGTAGTGAAAAAAAACTTGGCTCTGTGTTGAGAGAGCGGCGCTACCAGTAACACTTACCCCTAATTGAAGTGCCTCTTGAGAGTTCTCATGAAGGAGCTGCCGAGAATCCACGTGTGAAAGACGAGAAATGATCTCGTCCGAATCTTTGAAGCTCAAACCAGCTTCACGTGAGCATTGAAATAGATGAGCTCCTTTATGGACTAGCTGCTTCCGTTCCCATATCCGTTCTCCGACAATTTCAACAGAACGCAGGAAGTGTTCAGGAAAATGCTTCTTGATTGAAGAGAGAAATATTGCAGGTGTTATGGTGCCATAGCGTATCATCGTGGAATAAACCTGAAGAAATGGGCGATTCTGTTCTCCATAAAGGCACATCCGCGAGGACTGGATAAGCGGGGGAGTGGCTAGGGACACAGACAGGGCACGTCCTATCCTTAGGGTGAAATTTTGTGAATACCAAGCCCTCCTCCCTCCACTGAAACTTCCTCCTCCAAAGCGACCCCCTTGCCTATCATCTACCCTTTTCCCCGATTTCTCCCAACCGACCGCACCTTTTTTCAATTTTTTTTGAAAAAGCTGCACTCGAGAAGGAAGAGGAAAGGGGTGGCGCGCATCGATGAAGACTGGAAATTTTGGGCAAAGTCCACAACCGGGCGACCCTTCTCGCGGAGCATCCCTAACGTACGACGTGCCGTGGACAAAGTACAATTCCGCCTTCTTCATTGTAGCGCACCTCCTGTTCACTGTCACCAGGAGAGGTGGAGCAACAGGAGAAGCACATAGTTGCCTGTCCCCGCCACTCCTTATCGTGGTTAGGTGGTTCTAGGGCAATGAGACACAATGATATGGCACGATTAATGCCAACGCCATTGTGAAGGGCTGCGTGGTGGGCCCTGCGCTTCAGTCGTTCAACGAATAGAGTTCGGCAGTAAAGCCGCCCAAGCCACCTGCTCGTTTAGGCGAAGGTAACAGTAAATTATCATACACACTCTTCCCAATTGTCAGCGTATTAATGCTTCTGGCAGTCTGAAGGGGTTCTTTGTAAACATATCGAGATTTCCCAATACGGTAAGTGGTGTTCAATATTGATGTTTTCGCTTCCCTGAAAAAAAAGTGTGAGTACTTCTAAGTACATGAATCCGGTGGGATATAAAAAACAACTCACATTTCTTCGTTCTAGCTCGCTGATAGGAGCTAATTTAAATACAAGTTTAGCATCCTAATTGAGAATAAGTCACGGCATTCATGAGATTAGGAATCCTTCCACTATTCAAAAGCTGAAATAAGGTTATATAAGCGCAAATGAAAGTGCACCATAAAGATTATGCATGGAAAGAGGACACAAATGACAACAATGACCGCAATAAGCCAGTGTAGCGAGCGGTCGCGAGCAACTTATACACGTAATTGAGCAAACTTCATTCAGCAATCACATTATTTCTAGTTATGTCGTAAATGAACTGAAAACGTATATACACCTTACCTTGAAGCTTATCCATGAATTGGGACACGCAATGTCGAAGAACATCTTCCATTTCGTGACTGACATTTCTAAACTTCAGAGGGTGATATCCGCTAGCGAACGTCATTAGTCCTTTGACAGTAAAGCGGTTGTTAGTGGTAACGATAGACATGAGAATGACTGTCACACGCTGTAAAACAATGTTCCCACTGAGCTAGAGCGAAATTAAGCCACGGTTTTCACCGTTTCCTGACCAGAAAGGATAGTTCCCTACTATCTTACAACTTTGCTGAATTGTTGCAAACCCTTAATTTGTATCTCAGTATTTTTGAAGAGAAATAATAACTTAGAAAGGAACCAGATATAACTCACAACGAGAAGCAACATGTGCTTCCACGGAAATGTCACCTAAAAATACCACCCTTCACCTGTGTAATTGCATGCGCCGCGCGGGTACCGTAAGCTCACGCTCAATTTTTCTGCGATGTTCCACATCCCTAACCCATGCAGTTTGAGTTGGATGGCTGAAGAGAGCATTATGATGGAGGAGTGGAGCACAAGGGCAAGACCAAGCACCCTCCAGTGCTATTTAATTGAGCAGTAGTCTGGTTAAAACACTGCCACAAGCGTGTGTGACAATAAGTGTCATTAGGCGTTCGCTGTTCAGCTTTGCTAAAGATTTCAGTGGTACCAAATGACACTTATTGTCACACACGCTTGTGGCAGTGTTTT